CTGATGATGGAATTTGTTACGGAAAGGTAATTATAATTATTTAAAATATAAATTTATTTTATTTTAAAACTAATATACTGTATATATATACAGTGAACCCTCTCTAATATCCACCTCATTAATATCCACCTCTCTCTATTAGCAACAATAATTATAGAACGGATTTATCTATATATAAATTCCCTTGTATATATCAATTAGAAATATTATACCCCGTTAATATCCCTATCAACACATATCAAATTTTATTCCTAATTAAATATATCTCGCTAATATCAATATCTATATAAATTAGTATTTTAAAATTTAAAATTCTGATTTACAATATTATGTATTTACTACGTAATGTTTCTTTACAATATGATTTGTATTCTATTATATTACTAAAGCATAAACATATACTAAAAGTGGAAAACAATAAGAAGAATTGAATACAAGAATAACGGTTTATAATTATTTGAATGTCATGCTATATAAAATTCAAATGCTGTTTTAAAAATTCCACTAAATAAGATAATAACCATGAATGAAGAATCAGAACGTCCACGAAAGAAACGAATGCACTTAACTATGAAATCAAAGCAAGAAATATGTCAACGAAAGCAAATTAATACATCCCTAAGTATTACTGAATTAGCTGAAGAATATAATTGCGATAGAAGTACAATTGCAAAGATTTTGAAAGAAAAGAATAAGTGGTTATCCAAAGAACTTACAAGTTACGAAGAAAAAATAAAGACTAACAGACCAGTAAAGTTTACAAACTTGGAAGATGCTTTGAGTATCTGGACACGTAGGATTTTTTCTCAAAATATTGTTTTAACTGATAGACTCTTACAATTACAAGCAAAAAAGTTTGCTAAACTTTTAAATATTTCTGAAAATGAGTTTAAGGCAAGTCAAGGTTGGGTCGATAGATTTAAAAAACGACATGATATTCGTCGTTTTAAAATTCATGGAGAATCAGAAAGTGTAATAGTTGAAGACCTTCCTGGACAAAGACAGCAATTAATTGAACTACTTTTGCAATATCAGCCAGAAAATGTCTATAATGCTGACGAAACCGGTCTTTTTTTTCGGATGACACCTAATCAAACACTTGCAACCAAGCCAGTAAAAGGAAAAAAGAAGGATAAGGAGCGGATTACTATACTACTTTGTACGAATGCATCTGGCACAGATAAACTTAAACCACTAGTTATTGGAAAGTCGGCAAATCCTCGATGTTTCAAAAATATTCGAAAGGAAAATCTTGGTGCCAAATATGAAGCGAACAAAAAGGCATGGATGACAAGTGATATTTTTAATCGTTGGATAAAATCATTGAATCACATTAATAGTCTTAAACATAGAAAAATTTTAATTTTGATCGATAATGCCAGTTCTCACGTAATTAACGAAGACTTGGATTATATTAAAGTACATTTTTTGCCACCAAACACCACCCCTTATTTGCAGCCATGTGACGCCGGAATAATTAATTCTTTTAAAGCTCACTATCGAAAATTGTATCTTCAAACAGTATTGGAAGCCATTGATTCTGAAAAAGAAATACCTCGCCTCAATATAAAAGAAGCTATTGGTCTTTGTTCAGAAGCTTGGAGAAACGTAACCCCTCAAACTATTGTTAATTGCTGGCGAAAAACTGAAATAATACCATTAACTGAGTGGAATTGGCAAAATCAAGGCATACAGGAATATAACGAGAATTCAAAATTAATAACTGATATTGAACAACTAGTTTCCGACTTTCCTTCTAATAACATACAATTAATGACGGCTAATAATTATATTCATTTGGATGATACTATCGAGACAGAAGAAGTTATTATTGACGAAGAAGAAATTATAAAAGAAATACTTTACACATCTAATTCCGATAGTTGTAATGAAGACAGTGATATCGAAATCGAAAAAATTTCTCACTCTACGGCATTGGAACAATGTAAATCACTTCTGCAGTATGTAGAACAGCAAGACCCCACCAAATTTGTAGAAGAGCAAGACATGCCAAGATTACAAAGTCTTTTGCGACGCATTCAATCAAATATATATCAGGCGAGGCAACAAAAAAAGTTGACAGATTTTTTCGTCCACAATTCATAAAAGATTGATTTAGTTTAATGGAAAAGAAATTTATTGTAAATAAAGTTTAAAATTTACTCGAAGACATACAATTAAATATTTTGAATTCAAATAAAACTTTTAATAACGTAAAATTTGCCTCATTACACTAGTATAAGTGGACAATAAATCCTATTAACAATTAAAAGACGAAAAATAAATCAAATCAAAATAAACTCCTATAATTCACACTGCTTTGGTCTAGTCATCGAAAGGATAACCACTGGGAAAATAAAGGTCTGGATCGTATTGTATTATCTGGTATAATATTAGAAGTTGAAATAGAACTAAAAAATCTTCAAAAGCATAAGAAAATGTGGTGATTATAAACATACATGTCTTTCAATCAGTAAAGCCATTCGAGCATTGATGCAAGTGGTCCGCCGCCGCCATCTCCATTACCAAATAGAAGCAGAGCTTCGTCACTAAATTCATTTTGTGATGTCCTGCCGAAATGTGAATATCAATTTTTCTGCTTGATATGATAAATGAATAATTTGCAACATTGAATTAAATATCATCCATACTTCGATTATTTGAACAGATACGTGGCCCAAGCCATCGTTTGGAATTGATCCATTAGATTGATATAATTGGTATGACGAAGGAGCTTCTGAATTTACGTGGCTTGTTGATTGAACCGAAGAGCGTTTATTACTTATTAAGGAAGGATGACTCGAAATTCGATTGGATTATGACTTTGAAGATGTCCATTTTTTACCTTCGCATGTAGATCCGGAGAGCTCGTCCGCAGTGTCCAAAACATATACGTCAAGACCTTATAATAAAAAAAGCTTGTAAGTACTGTGGTTATTCCTTATTTGTGATAGTATCTAGAAATCTAAATCGTCCATTTTCAACTCTGCTCGTTCAATTGTAGGATGACTTTTATTTCTCATGCCAAGAAAACGATCCACGTCTCTCAATGCAAAGAAATAAAAAATTACTTAAAACGCAATAGTGGACACGTATTAAATTTTTCATAAATTATTAAACGGAAATAATAATTACAGTATAGTGAAAACATGAAACCATTCATGGAACGAAAGTTTGCTGGTCATGCTATGATTTTACCGTTCTCTTGTCATATAAAGACTTCCAACTGAATTTAAAACATCATGCTCGCTCCAAAAAAAAATTCATATATCGCTTCATACATTATACGCAAATAAATAAATAAATACGCACTGTATCAAAGCTGGGATTCTATTCAGCGTAATAAAGAACTAGATTTTCGCCATACTGCAAAAAAAAAAAAAAAAAAAAGAAAAGCATTAATGTTTAATTTTATTGACGAAACCGTAACTTACATGCGGTGCCCATTCGCCAGACGGTTCAGGAAAGGAATTCTCGGCGGCTGCTCTCGACTGCGTGATCTCGATTTTGATGGTTGTTTCTCCTTTGCTTTATTGCTCGAGGTTCCGTTTTTTTGTACTCGATTCAAATTTATCGATTCTGTTCGGGTTTTTCCAACGGCGACGACATGTAATGCATTTAGAGGATCCCCTTTTGCAATAAATACAAAGTCAGACTTTCGAGTAGCCAGCAAAGGAATAGAATGTGAATCTTGAACTTCAAGTTTTGAATTCTTAAATGTTTGAAATGTTTTGCATTCGCCAATAAAATATTCTTGTAATTTGTCTTCTGGAAGCTCCAGGTGTGTTGATAGAGTTCCATCTGTTAAATATTGAAATAGCCATTGATAAGTCTCTAAATCCATAATTATTTGATTATAGGTTTGGATATGCGTGATAATGCATCAACATTTTGATGCTTTTTGCCTTTGCGGTATTGAATTTGAAAGGGGTAATCAGTAATAATAAGAATCCATCGAGTCATTCGTTTTGTTGGGTTTGGATTATTCATCATCCATTGTAATGCTGCATGATCGGTTACTAATGTGAAGTCCATTAAATATATATAGGGTCGAAAATATTTCATTGCCCATACAGATGCAAGATATTTGATTTCAGTTGGTGAATAATTATATTCAGCTCCAACTAAACTTTGGCTTGCATAGGCAACTATATGTTCATTTCCTTCATTATCCTTTTGCGTCAAGATTGCTCCTAATCCCAGATAAGAAGCATCAGTATATAGGATAAATGGTTTGGTGAAGTCCGGATAAATTAAGATTGGTGCTGTGGTCAACTTTTCCTTAAGAAGTTCAAATGCTTTTTGACAATCCTCATTCCAAATATAGGGTATATTTTTTCTCATTAATCGATGCATTGGCTCCACAATTAAAGCAAAATCCTTGATAAAATGGTGATAGTATGAGGCTAATCCAATAAATCCTCTCAATTCAGTAATATTCATTGGTACCGGAAAGTTTTTGACCTTTTCAACTTTGCTAGGATCTGGTTGAATTCCTTTTTTACTAACTATATGTCCCAAGAATACCAGTTCCTTTTTACAGAAATGACATTTTTCCAAATTTATTTTGAGATTGGCCTGCCGGAATCTTTCCAAAACCTCGGTAAGATGTTGAATATGCTCTTCAAATGTATTAGAGAAGACATTGATGTCATCCAAATACACTAATACATATTTATCCTTGATGTCATAAAAGATGCGGTCCATCAAGCATTGAAAGGTGGCAGGTGCATTTGTTAATCCAAAGGGCATAACGTTGAATTCAAAGATTCCTTGCTTGGTGATGAATGCAGTTTTTTCCCTATCCATTTCATTCATCTCCACTTGCCAGTATCCACTTGCTAAATCCAGTGATGAGAACCATTTTGCCTTTCCTAATGAATCCAATATTTCATCAATCCTTGATAAGGGATATGCATTCCGTTTGGTTACTTTGTTTAACTTCCGATAGTCGACAAAATCTTGTTTTTCCATTTTTCTTTTTTACCAGAACAATTGGTAATGCTCAAGGACTAGATGATGGTCGAATAATATTTTGTTGTATCATTTGATTAATTTTTTTTTCAACAAATTCATGTTCAGCCGGCGATAAACAGTATGCTCTCTGCTTAATTGGTAGAACATTTTCAATAACAATGGAGTGAATTACTAAATTAGTTTGCCCAGGTGGATCATCATCTATAGCTATGATATCCTGAATATTTCTTTAAGAGATAGTCCAGTTGCTGTTGTTGGGTCACACTTAGGTCAGGTGGTTCCTTGATATCCGTTTTCTCATACTCCTAATTCATATATTGAACAAGTTCCAAATCTCCAAATTTTTGTTGACAAATTGCACATTTATCCTCCTTGCTTTCCAAATAATTATCATATCCACAAATAGCATTCGGTCCCTTCCAATCACGTGCCCTGGTTTTACTTTCAATAATTGGTTGATTTAAGTTCCTTAATTCCTGCACATATTTGATTGGTTCCTTCCTATTTTCAATAATAATAGTCCGATCGTTGATTTGTACCAATGGTTTTTCATCAGAGTTTCTCACAAGTGCACAGTATTGTTTGTTCTCCAGTTCCTCCTCCGATTCATATTCCAGTTTCTCAGGTTCCAGCGGTATTGTTTTCTTTTTGATTGCATTTCCCAAGTCATCATACTTTGGTTTTTCCCAACAAGAGATTTCATAGCGAAGTTTTTGTCCATTATAATATAATTCCATTATTTCATGATTAAAATCTATAATTCCATTTGTTTTTGTCAGCCAGTCATTTTCCATGATAACAGTATAAGTTGTTGCTTCAGATACATTTATATCGATTGGTATTGTTATTTCCTTAATATTTATCGGTAAGTCCTTTACTTTTTCTAGAGAACATCGTTTTCCTCTATTCATATTCATCAGGTTGACTTTAGATGGTTTATCGATTATTCATCCCAATTTATCCAAAAAAGTTTTTGAAACTAAGCTTCCTGTAGATCCAGTATCAATCACCAGGTATATAAGTTGTTCATCCAAGTGAGCTTCACAATGTATTGCATCAACAGCCTTTTTCTCTCCACTTGAGGGATTTGTCTATAAAGAGGTATACTCACCCTCCAGAGGTACCTTTATTAGTTTAAAGACTCCTTGACTTGTTTGGCGGTCTCCAAAAAGTCTCCCATCGG